GGCTAGGAATTCAGTACAAAATAAGGGTACGATATGATAAGCAGGATAGATATGGATGAACATACACGTCTTTCCGACAAAATGGTGTTTGATAATTATGTTATGTGGAATATCATCCAATGATATACCTGGAGGTATCTGTTTTGACCAATTATAATCATTGGGGGTAGGGTTTTAGGTTTCAACACATTCCGACAAATATTTGTCTGAACCAGCAACGAAATATGTATATGCTTTTAAATAGTCAACTCGAAAGATATTTGCCATATTTTGGTGCCGTTCAGATATCTAGGCTAGATCCTAGACTAGGAAGCCAGTTTATGTGACATTAGTAAATCCCCACACTGTTCAAACAACTAAGAAAGACAGAGAGATCTGATAAGCCTAGCCGCATTCGTACCTACTAGCTCGCAGAAGGCGCGGACCACCGTGATTGCCGCATTCAAACGGATGCTGGAGGAGGAGGATGTTAGCATCCGCCTGGACACCTCCGACAAACATTTACCTACTACGATGGATCGCTTCAACTTCTATCTCGCCACGAATGACGCTAAAAAAAGATACGTAATACGGCTTCATAACATAGAAATATGAAGCTATGGCTGTTTGATAAGTATCCACACTTACGTGCGTCTACAGAATTGATACTGCTCAAGCAAGGCAAGACGCTAGACAAACATCGCATGGAGAGAGAAAAGTGGCTTGATTATTAAGGCTCCTCCTCGTGCTAAGGAGGATTTACAGTCTCTAATCCGTTATGTATACAGCATGGCACGTATGCATGGTGACCACCAAGACGCTGCGCTAGCGTTCGCTAGCGATCAAATGTCTCTGTGTTTTATTGGGCCTGTTTTGATCGGTTTCAAACAACCTAGATGAACAGATATACCTTGCACTACCACTGGTTGTGCCTGCACTTGGCGCTCTGGGGGAAGACCTACTGGAGATAACACTGTTCAAGGATGTTCTCGAACCGGCAGGAAACAGAGGCCATATATACGATATCCGCGTGCTAATGGCGGTATATGAACCAGTATCCCAAGCATTGTTTGTACGTTATTTAGCAACGTAAAGGCAACCAACTTGGTGCGGATTGCATACCTGGATCCCGGAATAACCCACTTGACAGCCGCTCATAAAGATAACCTCGGAGGATATTCGAGGATCTGCTATCAAACCGACAGGGTTTCGGATGACGATACCACTGGCTCCATCCCTATCTGTGCGTCCAAGAAATGCTGAGAATACTTTTTTCCAATGCCGGCCTGACAGTGAGTTAGGACAAAAATGAGATATGTCTTGAAGTGGATGTGCAAAAGAGATAATGTTTTGTGGTGAAGCAGCATCAGAATATTCCGAGACAGGGCGCTATCAGTTCCAATCAATCAAAATCGACCACCACCCATTATGGCGATCTTGGTGTGGCCCACGTCAAACCTGGCCAAACCAATGGTGATCTTAAGTGT